AACCAGCTCTTAGATCCATTGATTCTTTGTATTGTTTTCTTTGTTTCTATTTCATTCATTTCTGCTCCAATTTTTGTTATTTCTTCTCTTCTGTTGGATTTGTGCTTCATTTGTTCTTTCTTTTCCAGTGTCTTGAGCTGCAGTGTCAGGTCATTTTGGGGGCTCTTTCTAATTTTTTAATGTAGGCACATAGAACTATAAACTTCCCTCTTAGGACTGCTTTTAAAGTGTCCTGTGGGTTGCATTGTGTTGTATTGTACTTTTCGTTTAATTCCAGAAATTCTTTTATTTCTTTCTTAATTTCTCCTTTGACTCAATGACTGTTTAGGAGTGTGTTTCTCCATCACCACGAATTGGTGTGGTTAGTAGAGCTTTGTCTAGCATTGATTTTGAGCTTTATTGCATTGTGGTCTGATAGAATGCATGGAATTATTTCATTTTTTTTGTATTTATTGAGGTTTGTTTTGTGGCCCCGTATGTGGTCAATTTTTGAAAAAGTTCCATGGGGTGCTGAGTAGAACCTTGGGGTTGGAGAGATGGCTCAGCAGCTAAGAACACCGGTTGTTCTTGTAGAAGACCTGGGTTCGAATCCAGCACCCACATGGCAGCTAACAACTGTTCATAACTCCTGTCCCAGGGGATCTGACAGCCTCTTTTGACTTCCTCAGGCATTGCACAACACGGGTACACTTACCTACATGCAGGTAATACGTGTATACACACAAAATAAATAATAAATGCACTGGAGAGATGGCTCAGCGGTTAAGAACACTGGTTGTTCTTGCAGAAGACCCAGGTTCAAATCCCAGTACCCACATGGCAGCTAACAACTGTCTGTAACTTCAGTTCCGGGGGATCTGACAGCCTCTTCTGTCCTCCAAGGGCATTGCATGACATGGCTGCACTTACTTACATATAGGCAATACACAAAGAAAAAAATAAACAAAATTAAAAAATAATAAATAAAAAATTAAAAAAAAAGAATGTGCCAGGCATGGTGGCGCACACCTTTAATTCCAGCACTCACAAGGCAGAAGCAGGTGGATCTCTGTGAGTTCAAGGCCAGCCTAGTCTACATAGTGAGTTCCAGGATAGTTGGGGCTACAGGGAGTCCCTGTCTCAAAAAAACAAAACAAAACAACAACAAAAAAAATAGAATGTGTATTCTTTGGTGCTTGGGTGGAATATTTGAAAGATGTCCGTTAGGTCTATTTGATGTATGGTATCATTTAATTCAGATGTCTCTCTGTTTATTCTTTGTCCAATTGACCTGTCTAATGGAGACGGTGAGGTTTTGAAGTCCCCTACTATTACTGAGTTGGGGTTAATCTGTGTCTTAAAGTCCTGTAGTGTTGTTTTTATGAATTTGGGTGTACCATAGTTTCGAGCATATATATTAAGAATTGTAATATCTTCTTGGTTAATTGTTCCTTTGATCAGAATGAAGTGACCCTCCTTATCTCTTCTGATTAGTTTTACTTTGAAGTCTATTTTGTCAGATATTAGTATTGCAACCCCTGCTTGTTTCTTAGTGCCATTTACTTGGAATATTCTTTTCCATCCTTTTACCTTAAGGTAGTGCCTGTC